GGGGGGGATTATTATTGCTGCCTGGGGAGAGAATATTATTGCTGTGGGGGGGATTATTATTGCTGCCTGGGGAGAGAATATTATTGCTGCGGGGAGTATTATTATTGCTGCCTGGGGAGAGAATATTATTGCAAGGGGGGGATTATTATTGCTGCCTGGGGAGAGAATATTATTGCTGCGGGGAGTATTATTATTGCTGCGTGGGGAGAGAATATTATTGCAAGGGGGGAATTATTATTGCTGCCTGGGGAGAAAATATTGCTGCAGGGAGTATTATTATTGCTGCCTGGGGAGAGAATATTATTGCAGCGGGGAGTATTATTATTGCTGCCTGGGGAGAGAATATTATTGCTGTGGGGGGGGGATTATTATTGCTGCCTGGGGAGAGAATATTATTGCTGCGGGGAGTATTATTATTGCTGCCTGGGGAGAGAATATTATTGCTGTGGGGGGGGATTATTATTGCTGCCTAGGGAGAGAATATTATTGCTGTGGGTGGGATTATTATTGCTGCCTGGGGAGAGATTATCATTGCTGCCTGGGGAGAGAATATTATTGCTGCGGGGAGTATTATTATTGCTGCCTGGGGAGATAATATTATTGCTGCCTGGGGAGAGAATATTATATGCTGCCTGGGGACTAAATATTATTTCTGTGGGGGGGATTATCACTGCTGCATGGGGAGAGAATATTATTGCTGCCTGGGGAGAGAGTATTATTGCTGCCTGGGGAGTATTGTTATTGCTACCTCGGGAGATAATATTATTGCTGTATTTTTGCTGCGGTGGGGATTATTATTGCTGCCTGAGGAGAGTTTATTATTGCTGCCCGTGGGGGATATGTTTTAATAGCTTATTATATTTAATAATTTAATAATAATCCCCCCCAGGAAGCAATAATAAATTGGAGGCAGATTAATATTGCTACAGGGGGTAGGGGAATTACTATTCCTGTCTGGGGAAATTACTATTACCGTTTGGGGGGGATTATTATTGCAAAATGTTATGTGGCAAGGTTGACCAGGGCGGCCTCAGGTGGGCTGTACTGGGCGCCATGAATTCTATTGGTGGCCCCGCTAGGATGTGCTTGAAGATCCGAGCAGCTGCATCCTGTCATTGATTTTAACAGAGGGGCACACGGAACAAAGGTGCATAAACAAAGCCCTCTGTATGGATGTATGGATCCATATGCCCGGGTGAATGAGCCCTAAGTGTATGTCGGTGCAGCGGCAACAAGTGAATAAGTATGCATCAGTGTAGTTGCAGCAAGTGAATAAGGGTAGGAATGTGTGTTGGCTCAGTGCGAACTGAGGTCGCCCAAACCCTCGCAAAGCTGTTAGTGACACATCCTCCTCCTGGTATAATCCCCTGTGGCCAGGGCATTCCCCACTACACGTAACAAAGTGGCAGGGCCTCGATGGACTCCACTGACAGCAAGCCTACGTAAATCCCTAAATAAGTGCATGTGGGTACAGTGGTGTTGAGCAAATGAATGC